TTACTAGCTGTTTGACTGTGGGTAAATCACTTAATCCCAATTGCCTCACTAAAGAGAGAGAGAGAGAGAGAGAGAGAGAGAGAGAGAGAGAGAGAGAGAGAGAGAGAGAGAGAGAGAAGAGAGGAAAAAGGAAAAAGGAAGAAAAAATGCCAGGAGCTGAGAGATGGAATGTCTTGTTTCAGGAACAGCTAGGAGGCCAATGTCACTGAATCAAAGAATATATAGCAGGGAGTAAGGTGTAGTAGTAAGACTGCAAAGATAGGAGGGGGTTAGGTAGGTTATGAAGAGCTGCCAACAGTTCTGATTGTGTCCACTACAAATTTATGTTATATACCCTCAAATGGGTCCTCACTGATTCCCTTATCAACTCATTGTGTATGTGTATGTACATGTTTATATACATATACATATATGTGTATATCTATATATACATGCATGTAAGTACATATGGAATAAATAAAAAGAGAATAAATACAAATGAATACAAAGCAGTTGGTGAAAGAGGGCGCCAGCAGTTAGGGGTATCAGGAAAAATTTCATGTAAAAAGAAAGTGGTGCTTGAACTGAGTCTTGAAGGAAGGGAGAGATTCTTTGAGGTGGAGGTGAGGGAGTTCATTCCAGGCATGAAATACAGAGGTGCAAAGACTAGAGAATGAGTAGTACTCTCATGTGAGGAGTAGAGAGACCTCCAGTTTGGCTGCATTGCAGTGTGTGTGCCCAGGGGAATAATGTACAACGAGACCAGAAAAGTAGACTGGGGTTAGGTTGTGAAGGGTTTTAAGCACCAAGCAGAGGAATTTATAAGGTGACTGGAATTAATTGAAGAGAGGAGAGATCTGCAGTTAAGGCAAATCACTGGCAGCTGTGAGAAGGATTATTGAATATGGTGGAGACTTGAGGCAGCACAAATTTAGCCTAATTCACCATATTAACATTTTCTCCATTACTTTCTTATGTCTAGATAATTAGCAAACAAAGAAAAAAAATTAAGCCCTGATTTAAGTGTTTCCAGAGCTCTGAACTGTTAATGCTTATACTGAAAATTTAACATTTGGTTATTACAAGCTGGTTCCAGCAAACCCCTTATTCTAAGTTTCCTTGCAGCCCTAAAATCTATGAACTTCGTTTATCTAGACCACTTTACTGTATAGATGAACTTATAAAAGATGTCTCCCTCCTCTCTCATGTAGTCACATTTAGCAGAAGGTATTTCTACATAATTATATAATATTCACAGATGAGTCTGCATTCTCTCTCACAGGAGAAGGCATCAGGGCATCATTTAATTCAGTTCAATGAATCAACAAGCATGTACAAAGTGCCTTTAACATGCAAGGCACTATGGTCAGTAGTATTGATACAAAGGCAAAAATGAAACAGTCCCTGCCCTGGATGCAATTCAACAAGTATTTATTCAAATAGCATTTACTGTGTACAACCAAAATCATTCATTCAACATTTTATAAAGTACTTACTCTGTACCAGGCATTGTGTTAAATGCTAGAAATACAAAGAGAAGGCAAAACCAGCCCCATCTTCCAGGAGCTTATGTTAGAATGGAGAAGACAACACATATAAATCAATACATACAAAATAAACCCAAAGGAGGTGGAAGATAACATTGGAGGTGATGGTACTATCCACTCTAGAGACTTAGAAATGCCAACAGGTACAAAGTTGTGATTAGGTTGACTCATAAAGGAAGTCAAGGACTGAGAGTTAGAGGTTGAGAGGGAAAGAATTCTAGGCATGGGAGCTGCTAGTACAAAGGCATTGAGGTGGGAAATGGAGCACCTTGTCTGAGGAATAATGAGCATGTTTGTATGACTGGATCGTACAGTTTGTGGAGAGGAGTAGAAAGTAAGAAGACTGGAAAAGTTGGAAGGGAGAGAGGTTGTGAAGAACTTCAAAGGGAGGAAACTGGGCTAAGTTTGTAAGCAGCTTATGTTGTACAGTTGCTACAAAAACAGTGTAATGTAATGAAAAAAAGCATTAGCTTTGAAACTAGCAGAGACTTGGGTTCAAATCCTGTCTTTGTTATTTATTTTGTGACCTTGGGCAAGTCACTTAGCCTTTTTTTTTTAAACCAGTTAAGAGTAACTTCCACAAAGGCATATTTACTTTGGAGATATAAAAAGAATAGCCAAGTTCACTTCCAAATTCAGCATAGCCACTGAATGAGTCCAGGTCTTAGCTACCACTGACCAGATTCCTTAGATTTCTCAGAACTTCAAGGCTGAACTGGCTAGTTGCAAAACCAGATACAGATTCCACTCTCAGATGTTCTGGTGAACTGCTCTTCTGGTCTTTTTAAGTTCAAAGTCATATTCACTTCCATTCTCCATCACTTCATGTAGGGAAGAACAAACATAGAGACGAAGAACAGGAACCCATATTCGCAGGCCGCATTGTTGACCTGGAGGGGTGGGCAGGGAAGCAGGGCAAAACTTCTTCCTTCATCGTTATCTCTCCCACTCAAACTTTGACTAGGCAGGAAAGAGACTGAGCCCCATTCAACCTTTCTGAGCTTCAGTATCTTTATCTATAAAATGGGGACAATATTTATCAAATATTAAGGAGCTAGAGAAATGCAATGTTATTTATTGTTGTGGTGTCAGTGCCCTAGAAAGGTTGATTCACCTCATAGTAGTGATTGGCTATGCTTGGGAAGCAGCTCACAGACCCTGGCTAATCTCAGCATCAGTCACCATTACTGCACCACTTACTCTTTGGCCTTTCTAGTGATACTAGGAGCAAAAATCTGTTTAAAGGATGAATGAAGTGGGTGCAGCTGACAAGCTTGAACTGTAAATATCAGAGGTGAATCAATTCCATTGCTCATCCCCCTGTGTGGAGAAGATGAAACAAGAACCACCTTATCTTGCCAGGAGCTGAAAATGTAAATAGCAGCTAGGCAGCTGGGTAGAGAATATATCTTGACATCAGACATTCACTGTTATTTCTCCCAAGAAATCTACAAACAGCAATGGTCCTCCTGAAACAAGAGATGGATAGAGCAATCCTTTAACTAGGGTTGGTTTGTTTTGTTTTGTCAATAAATCAAATGATTAACAACATTCTGGCAGATATGTATCTGTGTTTATATCACATATCTAACACAAAGAATTCTTATGTAATCATTTCCCTTGATTTGTTGATTAAAAAAAAAGAATGGGATATCAAAATGGTTACTCAATTTAAAAATTGTCACCTATTCAGTTGGGAAATTGAGCTCTCATTCTTGTATTCAGAACTGTTCCCAGAATCTAGTTCTATATTTACCTCTCCAGTTTTAAGAGTCACTTTTTCTTTATTTAATTTTTAAGTTTTATTGATATATTTCATTTTCACATTGCAAATACTTACAGATTGCTCTCACTTTGTGAGAGGTCCCTTATAAAAAAATAAAACAGTAAAGTAAAACTAATAATACAGTGACTTCATCTGAAAGTGCATGGAGCATTCTGCATTTGCAGCATCCTCCTCCTATATCTCTATTATAAAAAATGTATTTTTCTCCCTTCTACCACCTACTCTACTGAAGGAAAGAAAAAAAGTAAATTTCTTGTAACAAATATACATAGTCAAACAAAACAAATTTCCTTAATGGTTGTATACATACGTACATATACACAGATATATTGTCAACTGGACTGAATTGACCTCTAACCTGTGGGTGGCCAAAGCAGAACAGAGCAGAGTAGAGATAGGAGTCTGGAATCAAACAGAAGTTTAATTTCAAGGTGAGAGAAACGGCTTGCAAACCAGGAGGCAAATTAGACACATGTGTCTGGGCCCCCGCCCCTAGTGGGGCACTTGAGGCAGTGTGGGGAGATCTCAATACTCATACCAATGGTGATGCGTGAGCGCTAGCCCTGACAATGGGGGGTAACAGCAACAATGTGACAAGTTTGATTCATGGCAGGACTTCATGACCAGAACTTATCTGAGGAGTTTTCAGCTTGTCAGATGAAAGCAATACAGTAGATCAGTGCTTCGGGGCCATTTAAGTTATGGGATTCTACTTACAGAGCACAAGATGAGAGTTAAGAAGGCAAATGAAAAGGGGGTAAGTTGTTTATTCCCAACCTCAGAGAGGCTCAGCAGGAGATGTATATGGTACTGGAAAAGAGCAGAAGATGTCTACACACTGGGGCAGGGAAGAGATAAATGAATGGAATTCATTATCTTTAACTCAATCAAGAGTATGGATTAGGATATTACATACAGGGAGGCAGTTATGTGACACAATGGAGCACCTGGCCTTCAGTTAGGAAGACCTGAGTTCAAATCTGTCCTCCGACACTGACTATCTGTGTGACCCCTGGGCAAGTCAGTTAACCCAGTTTCCTCAGTTGTAAAATGAGCTAGAGAAGGAAATGACAAATCATTCTAGTATCTTTGCCAAGAAAATCCAAATGGACTCGTGAAGTTGGGCATGATTGAAAATGACTGACAACAACAACAACAAATTATACTAATATGATTATAAGGCCATTGTTTGGAGACAATGATAGGACACAGAGAGCTTGTAATTGAGAGAAATGATTATTAATAGCCAATGATTTGGGGAAATCCTGAGTTCCCTCCTTTTTCTAAAGTCCTGATTTCAAAAGTTCCATCTCTTAAAGGACACTACTGATAATTAAACTAGATTAACTTTCTTAACAATCTTGCCACCCAGGTGGGGAAACCATTGTGCTGTATTTAGGTCCTGGGTGGGAATAAATTCTTTGAATAAATTGCCCAAGGCTGGGGGTTGTCTGGGTATGGGGATAGTCTTTCTTTGGAACAATATTACTGTCAGCCCCTTATTGTAAAACTCATTAATTGTTAACCAATCAGAGTTGATTTTGGGAACACCCCTCTTCTAAAGGACATATAAGCATGAGCCTGCCACCACGAGGGCATTTGGCATTCAAGAGTGTCACTGGTCCTTTTATTAAAGCGCTGACATTATTAATAAAATAATTAAATTACCCAGAAATTGTGTCTCTCGAACTTTTTAAATGTCACATAACGAAAAGCTCAGGAACGATCAGCCTGCTTCCTGTGTGGCCTATTAAAAAAAAAGACAAATTGCATTCTCTTGGACTCCAGATGCCTGTGACTCTCTCTTTGCCTTTCCCTTTATACCTTCTTCCAAAGTGCTACGAAGTGGCAGGAGAGGGCTTTTTCTTTCCTGCTCCTTTCCAGAAGCAGTAATGACATCTTATTGTCTTACGAAAAGGTATAACCAATCTTGAAGAGAATGTTTTGGTCTGTGAGAAAAAGGGACAGAAGGTTGTCCTGATAGCCACTGACAGGCTGAATGCTTTAAGTTTTCGCTTTGGATCATAGGTTCCCCTGAGTCCATTTGTCTTATGCATTTTCTGTGGGGTGAAATTAAGGTTTTCCCATACCAATTACCCTTAGTGCCTGTTGAGGAACTGAAGACCATGTTACCGATATATGGGGAAACCCAGACATAAGCTAGAACTACTGTATTTTGGAGATTTTCCAGGATTAATTCCAGAAAGGGAAAATGAGCCAGTGAGAAAATCCAACCCTCTTGGGGAGTTGGAGTCAGCTCCCAGGACTGAACCCAATCTCTATCAGCCTAGAATCTTGGGAAGTGAAGGCTTGGAAACAGGGGTTACATCCCTACTCATTGGATAAGAACATCAATAGAATATCGGCTCCCATGTTGAACCTAAGTAGTGTTAAGAGTGCAGGGTTGAGTAGGATATATGTTACGTAGAAGAGGATTTTATTTGGGGGTGAAGTTGGGGGGCAGAAAGAAATTTTAGTGTCTAGTTGATAAGAACAATGAGCAAAAAAGTAAATAGTTCAGCAGATCATGACTTGAAATCTGAAGATAAAGGTGTGGGTCCAGGCTTTGCCTCTTTCTAATTGTGTGAGATGCTGGCACTTTTACTGAACCTCAGTTTCTTCATCTGTTATATCGGTATGCTAATGCTTGCTACCTGCTTCAGAAAGCTGTTGTGAGGAAAGTGCTTTGTGAACTATGAAGAGGTACAAAAATCTCAGCTGTTATTATTACATGACCAGGGTACCACATAAGCAAAGCAGTATTCTATATTAGACAGGACAATGCAGCACAATGGGCTAGTAAGTACACCAGGAAAGAAGCTTTAATTAATGAAACCTCAAATGTGCAACTGGTATTCTAAGCTCCTGATGACTATGCCTTATTTATATTTTTACAGTGAAAATATAATTAGTTTGTGCTTAATAAATATTGAGTGAATGAATGAAAGGACTAAACACTTCAAAGGAATCCTTAACATTTTCTAAAGAGTGCAATAGTAATTAAATGAGCTAATCAAGTACAAATGGGAAAATAGTACTGCCAAGAGATTAGGTTAGTTGGAGCATCTGAGGACTTCAAGGAAGGGCAATTAGAGAGGAGTAATGATACTCCTCAAGTTAGAATCATGCCTACTTGACCATCTCCCCTCTTACCCATTCACCCTTGATTGGGAAAGGGGAGGAGAGTAAGGAGGAAAAGGAATAACAACTACTGTTTAGTAGTAAAGTGCTTTTCTTTACAATGGCCCTGAGGATGTAGGTAGTATAAACCTTGACATTTCACTGAGTATGAAGCTGAGGCTTGGATAAGTTGGGTAACTGGGTCACAGTCAGGTAACTAGGAGGCATCAAAACTGGGATTTGAACACATATCTTCTGGTTCTGCATTTGGGGTGCTTACCTACTATACCATTCTGATCTTTGTGAAGGAGCAGAGGAGGTGAGGAGGGTGGCGTAAGCATCTGGGATATGAGCCCACATCAGTCTGGGGTACTTGCCTCTCATGCCATGCTGTTTCTTCTATAAGAGAGTGTGATGGTAGATGAGGGAGAGGGTGAGGTGGATGCCTTGAAGTGGTTTTCTTTCACTGAGAAATAAAAGTCCAATTCACCAAACCCCTAGGTACTCTCCCCCCTCACACTCACAAAACACCGCAGAAGAGGATATGAAACCTGCCCCAAGCCTGGCTCTGGCCCCGAGTCTCCCTCCTTGACGCTCACAAATCCCCTCACTATGAATTCTTCAGCCCCCAAGGCAAAGGGTTATCCTTGACTTTTATTTGCGCAACCTATGGATAAAGACTGTGGATAGCTCTAAGCAAATGTCATGGGTGTGGGTTTCCCTGACTCAGAGGCATCCAGCAAAAGGAGAGCAAACAGGGCATATTGCCTGTTTGTGAGAGACAGTGTAGAGAAAAATGGAAGTAAAGAATCCTCAGAAGTATTAGTGAGGCATATATCATTTTAAGTACTAATCTGTTTATATATATATATATACCCTGCAAGCTTTTGGAGGTTGACCTAGTCTGGCTAAAGTGGAGGTGAATCAAATGTCAGGAGTTTCAAATAGGTTATTACCGGATTATGGTATTTTTATATTTAAATATAGAGTAAAATATCATTAACTTGACCACATTAGGGAAAGGTTGGTATGAATTATAGAAAAATCAGAATTATAGCATATATTTAAAGTAATACAGTTTTATTGTATGGAACACTGGGATGGATTCAGAAGACAGGGATTCAATCTTTGCGCTATTTCCTTGACCTTCCTTAGCCTACTTGAGTGACCTTGGGGAAGCAATTCTTCTCTGGGCTTCTGTTTCCTTATCAGTAAAAGGAGGTTGTATTAACCTTTTGTGATCCTAAATATATGTGTGTATATACACACATATATACACATACACATACACGCATATACATATGTATATTTGTGATCCTAAAATGTTTGCACACACGTAAATATGTTTAAGGACAGCTAGGTGGCACAGTGGATTGAGCCCCAGGCCTGGAGTCAGAAAGACTCATCTTCCTGAGTTCAAATCTGGCCTCAGACACTTACTAATTGTGTGACCCTGGGCAAGTCACTTAACCCTGTTTGCCTTAGTTTCCTCATCTGTAAAACGAGCTGAAGAAGGAAATGGCAGAACACTAGCCAAGGAAACCCTAGATGGGGTCATGAAGAGTTAGACATGACTGAAAAATGACTGAAAAAAAATGTATATGTGTGTGTGTGTTTACATATGTTTGGGGGTATGTATCTATATTTATCTATACATACACACACACACACACACACACACACATATAAACATAGCTATAGATATATATACATCCAGCTACAAATTTTTGCCAAGAAATCTTTTTGACTGGATTTCATGTTTTATTTGCCTTTTTAAAACCATCAGTCCTCTGAAATTCACTCACATTTGATACAGTTTCCGCACTTAGGAACCATTATTACTACAGTGACAACTAATTAATCTCGTTGTGCCAGAAGTAGGAACTGTACTATATACTGTGCGTCACATAGGAAAAAAAAAGGGTTAGGCTGAAAAGGGAATTTGATAGCCTGAAACCAGTGACAAAGATGCAGTTTTGGTGCCACCTAGTTTTCTATAAGCAGTATAACCAGGAGAGCCAATGAGTTTAATTAGGTATGTAAACTGAATGTGTTTTTGGCTGGCAGAAGGTTTGCTGGAAAAGTTTCAAGATATATCCAATTCCAAAATTACTTAGTATATTAGAAATAGCAGTGCATTTGAAAACAGAGGACTTGAGTTTGAACTCCAGCCTTTTTACTAGTTTCCTCAGTGATCTTGGATAAGTCACTTAATCATTATGGGCCTCAGTCTCTTTATTTGTAAAATGAAGGTATTGGTTTAGCTAATCTCTCTCTGACCAAGATTGCTTCCAGCTATAATATCCAGTCCAGAATATTAAAACTTGGACTAGTCTATGTGGTGAAGATGTTGACATTCTAGAATATCAGAACTGGAAGGGATCTTTCAGGTCATTTGATCCCACCCTTTCATTGTGTGAACTGAGGCTCAGAGAGATTGAATGACTTGCCCAACATCACATAATAAGTTCAGGGATCAGTAGGGATTCTAGGTCTCTCCTGATTCCTAGGTCTGTGCTTTTTCCATTACACTATCATGTCCTGCAGTGTACTCTAGCTGCTTTCTAGATTGTTAATAGTGACTACAGAAGATGTAATAAAAATCCTGAAGTGCTCAACAGACCATCGAATTGATCCCATTTGGGCATTTAGGAGCAGGGTGAGGATCTGAAGAAATGGTTACTAAAGTTAGGGGAAGGACATTTCTGAGATTCCACTGATCTCCCTCCAGGGGGTCAGCACTACATAAGGATGCTCTTGGATCTGTCTATTAAATTCTTTATGTTACTTCAAAACATAACATTTCCACTCTGGCCACCATCTCCACTTCCTTCCATCAGGGACTTTGTAATCCTCTGTTCCTGAGTCCATTCTGAGCTCTGATATATGTGAGTTTTCACCTTATCTTTCCTCCAACTAGACCTCTTCCTCACTACTTTCTGGCCGTCGTCTTCAATCCATGCCCCATCTCCTTTCCAACTCCCCAAATGTTTTCTCCCACTAGAATGTAAGCTCCTTGAGGACAGGGACTATCTTATTCCTTGTAATTGTACCTGCATGGTTTACCACAGTGCTTGATTTTATCTATGTATGTATGTATGTATGTATGTATGTATGTATCTATCTATCTAGCTAGCTGCTGCTGCTGTTTGTCCCTCATTCTTGAAGAAGACCATGTTTTCCATTAGGTAATTGAAGATTAGCCCTCTTCTCATTCCCTCTCTTCTCCCTTAGTGTCCCAGGTTGGTCCTGCAGAACCTTAAAACGTATATAAACAAAGGGAAAATGAGAAATAAAGATCTATTACAGTGAAAGGGATGCAGACTTTATCCAAAACCAGAAAGGGTGAAGATATTTCTTCTTAGGTCATTCCCATTCTAACTTTCATTTCTTAAAAGTGAAGAAGTTAGGATTTCTCACCTTGGAGCCAGTTCTAATGTTCTTCCTCCCAAATTCCTTTCTTTTTCTAAGAAAAAGACATCATGACTCTTGGAAGAAGTAAAGTCAATATAAAAGTGAATGGAAACAGAGATTGACATTTTGTCCCTTTTCTTTTTGGTGCCCTTTCCCCCTTTGTTCCTTTAACCTACCAGGAATGCCAATGTGCTTCAACTCATTTTCCTCCAAGAAAAGTCCATTGGTAACTGAGCAAGGTATCATTATTGCTCCATCTTATCACCTGAGAGATACTTTTCTTAAAAATGGCGGCCTTCCACTCTTTCTCCACTGTTCTGTCTGTGTGTGTGTTTTCTCCCTCCTCTATACCCTAGCCCTGTATATCTTCCGATCTCAAAGACTGTACAGTATAGGTAGTTGTTAGGATTATTTGTGCTTTCTGTCCAAAGTTGTTATTTGTCTGAGACAACTTCTCATTTTTTGATGAACAAATATTTGCATAGTTGCTTCTGAGCTATAATTTCTCCAAAGTGCTCAATGTATATTATTTTTAGCTACAACCCAGTTTTCAAGTAGAAATTTGTTTGTGTGAGTTACTGTATATGCTGTCAAAAAACTACCAAGATGTTAAATTCCTAAGATTTTGGGAATATATCTGTGAAAGGAGACTTAGTAACATTATATATTTTTTCTCTTATTTTCAGGACCTGTAGTTCTGATTTTGAATGATATTAACAGCCAAAGATGGTTATAAAGGAAACAAATAGTTCAGGGGTGGGGAACCTGCAGCCTCGAGGCCACATGTGGCACTCTAGGTTCTCAAGTGCAGCGTTTGTCCAGTCCAAAGTCAAAGGGTCGAACTGGAGTACCCAGAGGGCCACATATGGCCTTGAGGCCATAGGTTCCCCACCCCTGAAATATTTCAACTCTAAACTTGGACTGAATTTCTGAATTGGACCTATTTGAATAAGTGAGGTTCCATATATCCTCAAGGTAAAAGCTGAAAAACATGAATATTTTATGGGTGATGAATGTCAGAGGATATTAGCTCTAGTCAGTGTCTTTGTACATAGAGTATGTACATTTGTATGAATTTATGTATGTATATATCTGCATGGTATATTTACATACAATTGGAGGGAGAGGGAAGGGATGTTGACAGGGTCAGAAAGGGCCAGTATGTAGTATGTGCTGAATTTTCTCCAAAGTAATTTAAGTTTAGATCTGCTCAATTCTTAGTGCTAAAAAAATTCCACATGCTAAATCTATCAGAAGTTGACAGTATATTAGTTCTATTTCCTCACTGATATTTAACTTTCCAACTATAAGAGAAATCAGTAGAAATGAAGGTTTCAGAGGATCAACTTGGAACCCTAATCATTTCATTGCCTTGCCAAAAAAAAAAAATCCAGGTTGTTAGTGGATTTAACATTTAAATATGACTTAATGTCAATATTAAGTGCTTTGTAGTTACCTCAGGAAACCTATTTTTGAAGCAAATGGAAAGCTAAACAACCTGTGAAAGCCAACAAACTAATAGAAACTGCTCTTTACTTGGCAGGAGAAAATCAATTCTGTGTTGCTGCCACATATTATCAAACGTCTTTTTTCTAGTGTTTATGCTTTTAGCCCTTTTCCGACCTGAGGTCTATAACTGTTAGCATAATTGCCTCTTTTGATGGAGAGCAGTAATCACTGTTCTTGATTTCTTATATTGCCTAGACCACAGTGCTAAGGTCGCTGTAGCCTCCTGGGAGAGGCAGAGCTCCAACTAACCTTCCCAGACCCATAATGAATTACTCAAAGATGGTAAGAAGGCAGACCACTATCCCACACCACCTCACTGTTCAAAGTCAAGTGCAAGACATCATTTACCACTAAAGCATTTAAAAAAATAAAATGCTCTTTAGTAATCTTGTCAATTTTCTCAACTTTTGTGGAGCAGACACATATGTATAGGGAAAATGCATGTGTGCCCTGTGGCTCTGAGTTCACATGGACTA